TATTATTATTATTATTATTATTATTATTATTATTATTATTATTATTATTATTATTCCTTGGTCAATAAAAGGAGTGCCCCTAAGAGAGACACTCTAATTTTGGAACTTGGGTACTTTGAGACGGGGAAACCCTAATTAAGAATGGAGTCAAATCCCTGGAAAATTCTACAAAACTCATTTTCTTTACATATATATTCCCTTCCCTAAATAAAAGAAGGGGCGGTTGCAAGCACTCTGTTTCATCTTTCGCCAAATAGAAGTTATTACATTGATACCCCCCTCTTTCCTCGAAGAAACTCAGGAGAACTTATTATCTTATAAGTATCCTATGAGATATTTCTGTTTCAGAACGGCCAGTTTAAGATCTCCCAATCAGCCTTATGGCTAAATGGGAATTTAATTTCGGTGACTTAACTGAGAGTAGTAGTATCATTTCATGGAGCTATGCTGGCTCTGGTTGCTACATATATTTTCAGTCCTCCTGCCATCTTTGAAACTGTGTTGATTATAGAGTGAGCTCCTTTTTTTGCTGAAAGGGTTACATTTCTACAAGAACAATCTGTTGCAGAGTTGCATTGAATGTCAACGGTGGGCAGGGCTGAAGACATGATGGGCGGGGCTAAAGCTGAAAATGTGTGGGACCATCCACCTCTCTTCATCCAACATCCCAATAATAATTTTTGCCTGACCACCACTCTCTCTCTCTCTCTCTCTCTCTCCCTCTCTCCCCCTTCTATCTCTCTCTCACACACACACAGACACACACACTCCTTTTCACCCATCGAACCTACCTGTTCAATTGCTGGTGAAGAGATGCATAATCCTCATTAAAGATCTCAACTGATGGCTAACAAAAATAGACTATGTTTTTCCAAGCAGAATAGCCAATGTGAAGTTATTTGTGGGATGGAGTACTTCAAACAAGCTTTACTTTCCGCAGTCCTATTGTCCACAGAAATTTGTGTTGGCCTCCGTAGAATCTGAAATATATCAGCATGAGAAAACATTCAGATAAAACTGTGCATATGAGGCCGAAGTTTTCCAATATGAGATTGTTCTATTGAAAGCAATGGGGGAGATCTCCTTTTTTATTTATGCCTCCTACCTTGCTTTTCAACAGACATTAGACAGTTCAACCTCAATTCCTATCAAGCTTTGTACACTTATTCACAGATTCTGAGTGCAGCTGTTCCAGAGGACAATCTTTTGTTCACCTGCATGAAGATATATAAATAATATGAAAACAGACTTTAGACATCAAGCCAGTGGTGTCTGTTCCACTTTCCACATAGTCCTTTTGAACTCAGAAATGAGACTTATACTATCCTGAATCACAGATCCTCAGATCAAAAGATGACTCTACTACTGAACAAGAAGAGCAGCAAATGTTCTTTTTGGCTGCCACTCTGGAATCAGCCAAAGGGCTGATGGATGGACTTTGTCATGTTCCTCAAAAACAGCACAGCCAGCCCAACAGGCATCAATAGAAGCTTGAGATGTCTCACTCTGACCTCACTTTCTCCTTGACCTATCCACCAAAGACTGCATCACTCATATTCATACTTCAGGTATGTATATTTGCCAGCAAGACATCCATAGCAGCATCTGCACATTCATTCTAGCATGTGACTCCTTCATTTGCAGAGCTACGGCAATCTTATTCCAGCTGCATCCCCAACACATGTCCATATGTATCAGAAGAACTCCCGGATGCAAACAAAGTCATGCTGCACCCATGCGCTTCAATAAGGACGGGAACAGATTGAAGCAATGAAGCAACCGGCTTCAAGTAGCACCGTGAGGGGTTGAGATGGAAGAAAGCAAGAGAACTGAATGAAATGTTGAACTGGTGGAGGACACATCTTGTTGGCTGTTCTTCAGACGGAACATCTCTTAGCCTGACATTGCTATCCTGACCTGTCCAACAGGGGCTTATCAATTAAAACTGCATTCACATTAAGCCAAAACCATGCAATCATTTCAGACTATTTCTCCCCCAGTCCGTGGCATGACTATAATAATTCCCGAGCTTCTGCAACCAAGTGCATGTTACCTTTACATTGCTTTGGCGTCTAGAACTTTGATCAAAGCAAGGAGACAAGATGGTCAATGTTGTAAGTTGGCTTTACCCCAGGCTCCATCTCCTCCTCCTCCTCCTCCTCCTCCTCCTCTTCTTCTCGCAACAAACAAAAAGCGTTCTTTGTTCCACATGCCTCTACATGGTGGACAGCAAGACCAACAACACTTTCTAGGTGTCATTATCTGCACTGAAATATGAAAACGTGTGCACTTGCACTTGTATATTTACACGTTTGTAGATCTCGCCATCTCCACGTTGTCAAAAAAATTGTTCAGATGAGACGCTTGACCCCATAAATAGCATAGCTGTTCATGCATGTGCCAATACAAACGAAACTGTAAATGTACTGTATATTTATGTTTATGTACAGGGCTATTTATGCAAAATTTGAAATGGGGGGGAGAGAAGTTCAGTAGCCTCAGAGCCAAAAAAATCAGAATTAGCCGAACTGACTCATGAAGCACTGTTACATTTTCAAGTACCAAAAGTGGGGAAAGATCTTAAGAGTTCTCATGCTGCTTTGAGATGTATAGAGCCCAATGAATATATGTACTTGTGCCTACTTGTGGTAGTGCTTACAAATGCGGGCATCTTTCCACTGTATCTACAGGACTTCCGTCACTTTCATGTATTTATGGATGTTTATTTGAAGACAAACATGGCCTACAGTAGGTTGGAAGACCAGGAAGGAATCCATGAAAGGGAATTCATGCATCTGCACACCCAGACTGCACATCCAAAGGTGTGGGTGGCAAAAGGTCCACAATTGTGAGAGGCACGGCCATATCATTGTTGCATAAAGAAGGCACGTCCATCCACACGTATTCTAATACACACCTGTGAGCACACATATTATTATTATTCAGCATAGGCATGTCTTGGAGATTAAAGACCGCCATATCAATTTCCTCTCAGCTACCTTCTGCTTCCGTCTCTGAGCTTTCTCATTCCTCCTCTTTGAGGAGCGGGGAGAGAAAGAGCTCTTTGCCTCCAAGGGCTGCAGACAGTCCTGTTCTCATTGCCGCCCTGTCATAGGGCAAGGCCTGCCCTGCATGTCTGCTCTTTCTTTCCAGACCTAGCTAGGGGGAATTTGGATGGAGCTCAGTACATGCTCTAGGATAGTGTTTCTCAACCACCCACGATGGCTGGGGAATTCTGGGAGTTGATGGCCCTACAGCTTTAAGGGGCCTGGGAAGAAGGAACTTGGCAGAGGGTCTCCGGGGCACAGTATAACCTCAGCATCAGCCCAGCTTTGCAGCCAAGAATATACTGTAAATCTTCTTGGGCCCAATCAGCTCTATGTCACTGAATTATCAGAATCTGTGTTTTATCAGTTAATAAAGATACCTGGTTTTTGACTCATGTCTTGTCTTTAGCAAGTTCATTTGCATGGGGATGGATGATCCCAGAAACTTATACCTATTTTATAGGGCTGCACCTCATACAAACTAGGCCCCTGAAAACACAAACGTTTGAAAACACACATGAAAGATACACATTTGTTTGTCCCACTCTCCTCTGAATAATAATTTTAAAGAAACATCTCCAGATCACTTTTCGGCACCATCGGAACACTTTTCTCTACCTTGTAGGCCAAACTAAGCTCAGAAAAAGAATTTTACTTCTTGATAATCTCAGCTGTCTCTTTTTGAAAAATGTGCTTTCTTTTTAAGAAAGCCATATCAAGAAATACACACACACACACACACAGGGAGGGAGGGAGAGAGTATTGCATATTTATTTATGTATAAATGTGTGTTTGTATATGTTCCTATACTTCCTTTCATATTCCTCAACAGAATACACATTCAATGCACACAAACACACACACAGAGGAAACAAAATGGCAGGATTAATACTGTAAATGGAGGATACTATTTTTAAAGAAAAAAGAAGCTGCAATAGAACTAGCCTCCAAACAGACTGGTTTTTAAATGGCGAGTATAAGCCTATAGGGACCTATAATCTGGGTGTTGTGCATGATTCCATCCTAACAACAACCTGGCAGAAGCAGACCCTGGTTGAGTAGTTTGGGGTGACAAGAAGAAAGAAAAAATGGAACTCAGGCTTGATAGGAGCAGTCAGGGGGTTGCTATAATCAACCAGATCTCAGTATCGGCTCTACAAGGACAACATTCATCATGGGAGAGACTACCTAAGCTTGCTTGTCTGTCTGTCTGTCTGTCTGTCTGTCTGTCTGTCTGTCTGTCTCAGGGGTGGGTTTCTTGCCCCGTTCCAACCGGTTTGGTTGGAATGGGGCCGGCGGCATCCTCATGCACGCGCACAGTGCACGCATGCGTACTAGCATCTGTGCGATGCTCCAGCTGCTCCTGGAGGATCGTGCAAGCGCTGTATGCGTCCTGCGCATGCGTGGAAGCGCAGAACTCATCAAAACCGGGTAAGGAGCGCGGGCGGGCGGGCCCTTCGCCATTCCCAGAAGTTACTTACTTCCGGGTTCGCCGACCAACCGGTTCGCGGGGACCGCCGCGAACCGGTTGAAACCCACCCCTGGTCTGTCGTCTGTCTGTCTGTCTGTCTGTCTGTCTGTCTCTATCTATCTATCTATCTATCTATCTATCTATCTATCTATCAATCTATCTATCTATCCATCCATCCATCCATCTATCCATCAATCCATCAATCTCTATATCATCTGTCTATCTATCTATCTATCTATCTATCTATCATCTATATCTATCTATCTATCTATCTATATCTATCTATCTATATGTATCTATCTATCTATCATCTATATCTATCATCTATCTATCATCTATCTATCTATCTATCTATCTATCCATCCATCTATCAATCCATCAATCTCTATATCATCTGTCTATCTATCTATCTATCTATCTATCTATCTATCTATCTATCTATCTATCTATCATCTCTCTCTCTCTCTCATCTAATCTATCCATCCATCCATCTATCCACCCATGTCACATAATGATTGGGTGGTTTGCAATAAATAGCCATACCCAAGGAGAATATACATACAGTCTTCATTTAGCAACCATAGTTGGGATCGGCAATGTGGTTGTTAAGCGACGTGGTTGCTAAGTGAAACTGCATCTGTGCTTATAATCTTAATTCAGTTTTCCTTTGCTTTGCAGGCAGGCAAAGGTTGTAAAGGCACGGATTGGTCCTAAACATATTTTTTCATCAGTGGCCACTGTCCGAGGCACTTGCAAAATGTGGACTACCCATGCAGAAGTGGGCTGTGATGTGTATAGTTTGTAGGCAGAGCGTATCTGAATTTTATTTTGGCTCATATTAGCCCTTCCCCCATCATCTCCATTTAACCAACTCAGCTAGGATCCAATACCACAATTGTCTCTACAGGGCAGGCGGAGAGGCAGGCAGCATCTTCTCTGAACATTTCCTTCATTTTCCTGCCATTCACAGTGACTCTCCTCTCCTCAGCTCCGGAGCTGTCAGTGTTGGTAAAAGGGCTTCACAGCCATGGCTTTGCGGGACGGCTGTCACGCCTCCCCATCCAATTCGCTCAGACTAGAAAGTCACAAGGATGGAAACACGTCACCCTGAATTCATCACAAGAGCCTCATCACCTCAGACGTCGCACTCCCAACGTGCGCCTTGTCCAACAAGCCCCTGCGCTAATGCACATCGACTCCCGTGGGCAGCCTCAGGAGGGTGCAGCCGTGCAGGAGTTTTGCATACACTTGTAGAAATATTAACCCTTGTGCGTAAGCTCACACAGGCAACACCTTAAGGATGCAGGAGACGTCTGCTGAAGAACTGCTGCAGATGGAAGAAAATGTACCCCCTGCCCCATAGATGCTGAGTTTCCCAGAGGCCCTCTATACATCCCCCTCCCACATTTTTCATTTATTTATATCCAGCCTTTATTACAGGTAGTCCTCAACTTACGAGCCACAGTTGAGCCCAACATTTATGTTGTTAAGTGAGACATTTGTTAAGGGAGCTTTGCCCATTTTACAACCTTTCTTGCCATGGTTGTTAAGCAAGTCACTGCTAGGAGCCTGGTTGTTAAATGAATCTGGCTTCCCCGTTGACTTTGCTTGTCAAATCGCAAAAAGGGGGATCCCACAATCCCAGGACACCACAAAGGTCAAAAATATGACTTTTGATCATATCACCCTGGAGATGCTGCAACAGTCATAAGTGTGAAAAATGGTCATAAATCACTTTTTTCAGTGATGTTGTAACTTTTAACAGTCGTAAGTCGAGGACTATCTGTATTTTTGTGAACAAGCCAAATTGGTGAACATACCTAACATTCCTTCCTTCTCCTCATTTTCCCAACAACAACCTTGTGAGGCAAGNGACAGGAAGGCCTGGAGGAACGTTGTCCATGGGGTCGCAATGGGTCAAACATGACTTCGACAACAAACCAGGCATGGCCAACATGCGACGCATCCGGCCCACGGACCGTGAGTTTGAAAGCCCTGATCTAGAGGGTTTTCTTTGCTTGGATTGAGGCATGGGGTCTATAAAGAACAATTTGCACAATCAAGTTTAATTCAATTCAGCGGCACTGAATCAAAGTTAGAAGAGAGCAAGTAAAGCAGTTTTGAGGCATTTCATGTCTACACACAGTGAGAAAACACTCTGAGAAAAAGGATCGAAATAAATGCAGCTCAGTTGTAGGCTAGCGTTAATTACATTAATTAACACTGATCCTGCTTGTTCTGTGAAAGTTAAAGTAATTGTATTACCAAATTCTCAATCTATATTCAACACTTGTTTCACACACGTTGGTCTCCTATCAGAATATAAAGGAGCCTAAAGTATGTCTGCAAAGTATTTCTCCATTCAACACAGATTATTATCTTCAAACATCACATTTGCTTTGTCGCTGTACAACCAACCCTTGCCTTCTTGCCAAATTTTCAGGGTCTAATTTACATTCTATTAATTAAAACAAACTTTTAAAGTTGGAGTAGTTCCAGAGGCTGTGCTCCATCTTTCATTCAATCTCAAACAAGATACAGTATAGCTTCATTTTTGTTTTAAACTTTTAAATAAGATTGTTACATAAACAGATTGTTTAAAGAAAAGAAAATGAAAAAAATGTCTTCAAGAGACATAGATGTT